TCTGTCTGTCTGTCTGTCTGACCTGCAGAACTACAGACATTCCCATCAGCCTCAGCTCTACTTTGTGTTTTTACTGCTAATTTGCTAATGTTAGCATTATGAATGTTAGCATTTAGCCTGTCTACAGCTTCCTTTTCTTCATCACTTGTTCAAACTGCTGTTTTATTTTTCCTTATTTTTCCTTTATTCTCTTTTATGTTTTTCATGTTCATTTTGTTTTACTTTCATTTCTTATTGTTTCTTCCTTTATTCTTTATCCTCCTCCTCCTCCTTCTTACTGTCTTTAAAGGGATAACAGGGCTGATCAATAGTGAGAGGATCAATCACAGACTGATAATCTGTCGGCTGATTCTTGTTGTGAAGTGTTTAATTAATTAATGAGTGAATGAATGATTTAAAGTGTCAGCTGTTAATCTGTATGAACACTCGAGTTTAACACTGACTGATTAATGTATAGAAGACAATTAGTGCCAAATTATTTATTAAGTTTAAAGATAAAATCGACTTGAAATGTTTGGCCCTCCTCGTCTTCCATTCCAATGTGACATAATGAACCATTTATAATCTTGTCACACAGCAGGAGATATTTATTGTGCTGAAGGGACAAAACAAACACTGATGTAGATACATATATGCTTGGAATGGAGGGTGAGGCGTGGTGGTTGCAATCTGCAACTTCACCACTAGAGACCACTTAATTCTGCACGCTTTATTTCTGTCAGTTAATTCATTCATTATGGTTGTAAACAGTGTTTAGAGTCTACACAGACTGTAATAAGTTATTTTAAGATAAGATTAAATATTGGTAAATGTCAGGAATCTTTAATGAAAAGTCTGAATCCTGATTTGTTTCAGAATATAAATAAAAATATTTCCTTCCTGAGGATCAGAGACACAAAAACACTTCCTGTGTTTAACAAAATAAAGGCAGGAGGGAAGGTGAGACAGACAGACAGGCAGGCAGAGCGACAGTTCCGTGTTGACCTCTCATATTATATCTGCAAAGCAATAAGCTTCGGGCCGCCCCTCTGCAATGCATTCTGGGTAACGCAGGTCCTCCGAAGCTATGTCCTGCCCTTTGGGGAAATGAATTCATCTGTGTGTGTGTGTGTGTGTGTGTGTGTGTGTGAGCAGCAGCTCGAGTTTTGGACTTTTTTAGATGGTGAGGACATTTTGGTCAGTCCTCCCTTCAACAGATCTTCACAGGCCGGTCTGAGGGTCCGGACCTGGTTTTAAGGTTTAGGGATCCATTATGTCAATGAGGGTCCTCAGAAGTACAGAATCACAGACGTGTGTTTATTACCTGAAACCTCCTCATGTCTCGTGGGTTTCCAGCGTTCTTCAGACAGTTCTGGTTACACTTGAGGAAGAACTTGAGGAAGAACCTGCACACACACACAAAGACACGAGGAAAATAATGACTACAATAAATCATCAACAGCAGCACAAACTGCAGCACAAGTAAATTTTGTCAGTTCACAGTGATATTAGAGCTCTCAGTATTTATAAAAGTAAATTAAAAACCTGTTTTTAATCTGGCTTTTACTTTGGAGCAATGTTAGTTTTTAAGTTTTAATCTTTGTTTTTTTACATTATTTGTCTCCCTGGTGTTTATTTAAATGATTTACATTTTATTGTTTTTATTGTATTAATTTTTCGCCTTGTATAATTTCATTTATGGTTCAGTTTGCTTTGTGAAGCACTTTGGGCTGTAAGCTGCTGTATTAGGTTGAGTTAAGACACGGGGAGTAATAGATTACATGTAACTTCAAAAAGGATACAAAGAAGGTAACTGTAATCATTACAGTTAAAGAGAGAAAGACGTAATCAGATTACAGTTACAGTTAGTAAAAGTGAACAGTTTTTGGTCACATTGTTTCTGCTCTCTTATGGTATATATCAATACTAATCAATCGTCTTTATTTGCATGTTTGGCGTTGAGGTATTTTAAAAAGTATCAAAGTAATCAAGTTACTTTAATATTGTGATACTTGAATTAGGTTATTAGCCCTCCCAACCCTGCAAATGAAAAAATATGGGGTACTTTGTAAAGAATTCCAACTAATCAGAGGATAAAAATTAAAATCAGATCTTTGGCACAAACTGAAGGAACGCGAACGCGATTCATCGTATCGAATCATAGAAACAAACTGAGGATAATGTCAGTCAGTATGCAGACGATCCGATGTTCTACATTCCAGAAGGAACCAAACTGCCCCTCTGTTAACGTAAAGAGGCTAACAGTGTTAGCTTTCTGTTTGCTGCTGTTGATGTCCAGTGTGATCAGAAATCTTTCATGTGAAGGTTGAGCACAGAGTAAGGGCAGATTGTGGGTAGCTGATGTTAGCAGGGGCATTAGGGACACACAGCGGGGTATAACTGCTGCCCTGCTACTGGCTGTCTGATGGTTTGTTGCAGTGAAATCTGCTGTTCATGTTTCAGACAGACACACACAGAGACGGCTGTATGTTGGGTTAATGTGTATTACACAGAGTAAACACAGAGGACACACTGTCTGCGTCCCAGGAGAGACGGAGGGATGAAGGAGAGATGAACAGCTGCAGCCACACATCCAACCTCAAACACCTCTTCTTTTATTTTGGCAGATGTGTTTGTTTCTTCCTGTTTATTGTTTACTAGTTGATGTTTACGTGTACATCAGATAATCAGGAAACGTCCGCGTGTGCAGAACCTCATTTGATGTTTCACGAATTTAAAAGACAACAGCCAAGTGTGTGTGTGTGCCACAGCATCACCGCGGTTTCCATGGTGACGGGTTGTAAACACACAAACAGAAGGACAAAAAGACAGAACTCTCTCTCAGGCGATGTTTTCAGTCTCTGGAGGGGCTCTGCAGTATTGATTACCCAGCATTCCTTGCTGCTCGTCTCTAATGAGCCTACAGAAGGACAAAGTGCTGACACTGAAACACACACACACACACACTGAAACACACACACACACACTGAAACACA